GCGTGACGCCAATAAGGATGATTGATAAGTGCTACAGAATTAGTACTAGCCAAAAACAGCTAGATGGAAGTTAACCGGGGAGGCAAGAAGCAATGGATCATGAAAAACAAGCGGGGGCAGTAACGTTAGCAGGGGTGATCGAGATAGTTAAGTACACGTTCGAGATATCAGAAACCAGGGGGATGCGCGGAGCAGGAACAGGTACTGCTCAAAAGAAGACTGGATGCATTGTTTCGGAAAGAATTTCTACGAGGTTGGGTTGTGATGTCGATATGGAGTGAGTTGTAGAGGGTGAGGGCACTGTTGATGGGGGAATCTCGGTGCCTGTTTGTGTGTGCGTGTCCGATGGAGTAGGTCCTTGTCTGTCGAAGGGTGTATGGTTGCTGTTGACTTTGTGTGCAAGATGTGGTTGTTGCAGGTGGGGTGGGGAGGTGTGGTGGTGGATGTCCCATGCTAGTAGGACTTGTCTAACAAGGAGTCGTGAGCTAAGGGTGGGGAGCTTTGCATGATGGAGGGGGGAACTGTGGTGAACTGGTGCAAAGAGGGGAATCCGAAGGCAGATGTGTGTAGCACGGCGTTGAATTCTCTCCAGTGTGTCTCGCTGTTATGCCCGCGAAATCATGGAATTATGCTTTCATAGATTCTCGCATTATGCTCGCAAAATCCTCATATTATGCTTTGGCACGCGGGGATACATATACACTTTGTTGTACCTATGGAGCCCCAAAGTTCGGAAAATTGTGCCTTTTTCGTACTTGCAAGTGGCCATAAGTACAAAAAAGTACATGAGTATCCCCATACCAAGGTGTCCATGCATGCTAGAGAGCAACCTGGAAAAGGGGAAACATTACTTCTTCTATTCATTAGTTGACTTCTTTTGCTTTGAAAGCTTTTTCCATTGCCAAATTAGTTTGAGTTACCTTTGAAAACTGTCATGTTCAACTGTCTTCGTAATCGTCATACTCGTCCAACCGATGTCACCCTAACCCTGCGGATGCGGATTCTCATAATCAGCTCTTCTCTCTCGTAGCTCCAGCTCTCCTTCCATCGTGACCGAACATCAACTATACCTCAATTTGTTTCATTATTAGAGCAATATCCATAGCATGCACAGTCCTAGCTGCTAAGATTCAGACGTCATGACTTCGTAACAAGCATAGTGTACATGTACGCGGAGTTTTGCGGACTACCCGTCACTGTCTCGTCCGCCCCCGGGGATATCTGATAAAGGCTGATTCACTCGCATCTCCTGCTACATGTACTGTATCAGGGTGAGAAAGAACTTTGAAGAAGACGAGTTCGAGCACAAAAAATGTATTTCTATGATTACTACCCTGCTTTTCATTGAAAACACTATCTGCATGACCTCCGAACCCTTTACCATGCAGACCACCAGCACTGATCTGGTGCATTGTACACAATTGTGTCGCCTACATACTAGAACTGTGATACAATCATGCAGTTATGCTCCTACCTCCGAAAGGATGCCAAATTATGCTCCAAATTTTCAACCACCAAATTATGCCAATAATTATTATTAAGCCGGCACAATCCGCCGGTGCCTACCACACACTCACGCATAAACATAACGTTAGACTTAGGGGCCGTCCGTAAAAATCGAACTTTTTTCACCAAACGAATTATTTTAGTTTAGACCCAACCCCTCCCTCCCTCCCCCTCAGAACGTAAAAAATGTTGACATACATGCATAATATGTACAACAGCCATGTACGTACATGTACATGAATCAATGTTTTCTGAAACGAAATTGGTCAACCCCCTCCACCCCATAACGAGATTATTTCGTTTTGTGAAAAATGTTCGATATTTACGGACGGCCCCTAATAGAGTAACTAATAATTACTTAGACCATGCTTGGACCAGACTTCGTGTATTCTGCCGCCATGGATGAGCTACACGTCCGGGTTTCATTTTGTCTGCTGCTATGGGCAGTCGCATGCTTTAGTGTAGGGTAGGGCTGGTTTTCAAAAGTCTGTTCAGTCCAGAGGTTCATCCTCCGCAAGCGCACCCGTAGATCTACGTTCCTACCTATTCACAAGCGTTATGAATGAGATGCTACACAGATCCGGTTTCGGGCCCACACCCACCCAGATTCAAAGGCATGCTACCGCACGCGCAGGCTACTGGTACTGCAGCACTACGAAAGTCCTCTACAGCTGTAGACCCACAGTCGCAGACATCACACCAGCCCACCGAGTCTATGCGTTTGAGAGACAGTGCTATCTTCGTGGCCTGTCTAGAATTACAGTCATTTTAAATGTCCATGCCCATAATTATCAAGTCAACGATGCCTCCGGATGTGGCAGATCAGGAATTCGCTGATGACATCGCTCTCGATTGCTCCAACGCGTGTCCCAAGCAAGTCTGCGAGTCTCTGTCGTCTGCAGTGACCAACCTCGCCAAGTGGCTAGATGACATCGGCCTACTTCTGAATGCCCAGAAAACCCAAGTTCTGTTTGTAAAGCCAAGAGGCGGTGCTGATGTTCAAGAACACGTACGTTGTCGAGGACAATCCCTGGAATCAACAACATCTGCGAAATACCTGGTTGTTGTAATCGACAATGACCTGTCCTGGCAGCCACATATCAGCCATGTAACACGCAAGATCGGGCCAGTAATTGGACAGCTATGGCGACACGGCAGGTCCCTGAGCCTAAGAGCACGCCAAGTCTGGTATGTCAGCATGATACAGGCTCATCTGTCCTATGGATCCAACTGTTTCTTCTCCAGTCTTTCCAAACAGCTCCTGGATAAACTCCACCGCCTGTCAAAATCCGGTGTCAGAGCGACCCTGCAGCAAAGGACTCTGGTCCCGACTGCCCCCCTTCTCGAGCTACTGGGTGTGCCAAGCTTGCCACAGCTTCTCTTCCAGAAGCTTGCCATCTTCGTTTTCAAATGTTTAAATGACAAGACAAGTCCCATGTTAAAGAATCTGTTCGTGCCGATCAACGACCCTGCCACACCTCAGCTGAGGACGACACGGGGTCAAGTGTCAAGCCTGCTGAGAGTTCCGTTCCTCCCTGGTCCTGCTGGACGTCGTTCAATTCAGTTTGTTAGCAGCATTCTGTGGAATGCTCTCCCAGTTGCAGTCCGTACGGAAGGTGATTGGCAGACATTTAAAGCTCTTGCCACGGCTCTCGACTTGCCCAGCCTTTACCCATATTAACATTCTCTGTACCTAACTTCATGTCGAAATCCATTTTAACAATCCGCATATCTCTCCTCCTCCCCCCCCCTCTTTCTCTGTCTCTGACACACACACACACACACACACACACACACACACACACACACACTCTCTCTCTCTCTCCCTCTATCTATCTATCTCTCTCTGTTCAAGTGTTGTTATTGTTGTTGTTGTTGTTGTTGTTGTTGTTGTTGTTGTTGTTGTTGTTGTTGTTGTTGTTGTTGTTGTTGTTGTTGTTGTTGTTGTTGTTGTTGGTCATTTGGTGACAGCTTGTACAATTTCCTGTCCAGGTAGTAAAGCGTCTCTCTCCTCTCCTCTCCTCTCTCTCTCTCTCTCTCTCTCTCTCTCTCTCTCTCTCTCTCTCTCTCTCTCTCTCTCTCTCTCTCTCTCTCTCTCTCTCTCTCTCTCTCTCTCTCTCTCTCTCTCTCTCTCTCTCTCTCTCTCTCTCTCTCTCTCTCTCTCTCTCTCTTGTTGTTGTTGCTGCTGCTGTGGTGTTGCCGTTGCTGTTGTTGTTGGTCTGTTGTTGTTGTCGCTGTCGCTGTTGTTGTTGCCGTTGCTGTTGTTGTTGTTGTTGGTCATTTTGTAAGAGCTTGGACAGTTCACTTGTCCAGGCAATAAAGCAGTCTCTCTCTCTCGCTCTCTCTCTCTCTTTCTCTCTGTATCTATATCTATCTCTCCTCTCTCATCATGCATGCGTCACACTCTCATGGAAATGTTTATTTTATTTTTTATTTTATAAGATTGCATGCTTCACACTCTCATGTAATATTTCTTTCCTTTCTTCGTCTTTTTGTGAGAGCTTGGACAATCCACTTGTCCAGGCAAGAAGGCAGCAATGCCTGTTCATTCTGGCGAAGTAAAATAAAATATACCAACCAACCAACCAATTATAGACAGGTGTCTAAGATCCACAGGCTGCGTACTAAAGAGTTAAAGTGCTCTATGTCCAGTGGACGGAGCCAGCAACACACAAACAGCAACAGTGCAAACCAGGTCAGGTCCTTCCTTACCGCTACCGGGGAGTTTCGTGTCTGAAAACACTCATCAGACGCCACGGGATGGCTGTAATAACGTTACCAAGGTGTGCTTACAGCCGCTAGAGTAGAGTGCCTGGGTTGCATGCACACGAGGGACTTTGCCAATGATGCCAACCCGTACCCGTGGATAGATATGCACGTACATGTAGAAGGTGTGGTAGTATAGCTTTAAAAAGTCCGCCCCTGGCCTGGCCCATTTTCGGCCGCCATCCAACTGATCCTGCCCTCCACAGGCACAGAATTACTTTGTAGTCCTCACAAGTAACATTAGTTAGTCACAGTGGTACCGATGACGCGTTTTGACATCCTACTACAATCATCACTCAGATCATTGTAGTCTGTAGACCTACATCGTTTCGATATCTCGGAGAACTGTAGAGTGTAGTCCTGGTAGTCTGTACCAGGGAGTAGTAAAATACATTTTAAATACATTTTACTACTCCCTGGTCTGTACTGACATAATTATCTGTAGATCTACATGACGGTGTTCGTCTGCAGCATGTTTATCCCAGCCTCCGGAGTCGATTGATATCCGGAGATGTACTGCGGGAGACTCGCGCTGCCGGGGCATCTCCGCACCGCAGAAGCAGTACAGCCTACAGGTCGATCTACAGACTGTCACTCTGTCGGTGTCAGTCAGTGCATGCTAGTAGGTGCTGGAGACAGTGGAGTGCGACTGTGACTCATACATACGCGTAGATCTACATCTTTCAGTTATCCTTCAGACCTGGACATCGAGCGCTTCTCTGAGATTTGAGAGTAGAGCCCCGGCCCGGGGCAGGCTAGATATCCACCAAACCAACACGAAGCTTTACTTACATGTTGTTATGACTGTAGTCTTTTACTTTTTTAGTACATGTACAGACACTCGTGAATAAACAGTATTGTTTTTGTAGGGGCACCCTGGGCAAAGCATTCTTGAAGTCACTACTCGTCCTGTCCAGTTGGTGTGAGTGGGAAGCGAGAGGTAAACAAACCTCAGAGTGCTCTGGAAGAAGGAAGCCGCATCGAGCCGAAAACTCGACACAATGAAATCAGTGACGGGAACCGCTCGCGGCATGGCCGTGGCCGCGCTGGTTTTCACCACGCTGGCGCTCATGGACGGTACGGCCACTCAGCTTCTCCACAGCTGGGCAGACGCCAGCATCAGCGATCCGCTCAGCGACGAAATGGTCAAGCTACTGGACGCGGGGCTCTGGGAGGTGTGCGCCACCGACAGGCTCATGGACATTGCCGAAATTCCGACGCGCTGCTACGCGGTGAATGGAAGTGAGTCAGCTAGAAAAATACTTTCAAATAGTTCGCTCAATGGGATGTGCGAACATCACGCACGCGCGCGCGTGTGTGTGTGTGTGCATTTTCACATTCTCAGAGATCAGGGTTTTGTCAAATAACATTAGTCGCCAATAAGAGTGGTTCCTGATTTTCTGCTCATTGCGTCACAAAAGCAGTGGGAAGATGGGCCAACGTGGAGTGAGTGTTGGGGTAGAGCCAACAGAAGATTCGTCATGACGCCGTAGCGAGTAGCAGCGCTGCGAACAATGCACAAGAAACCTACAATGGAACTGTTGCTCACCCAGTACAGGCATAATGCGTTCACTTGCTTAGGGTCCATTCATCAAAAGGTGAGCACCAGGGAGTGGTAAAATACCGGTATTTTACCACTCCCTGGTGAGCACTGGCTCTGGTGCGCTCCCGTGTTTGGTGGTTTTTCGTGATTGCATCGTACACAGTGCAGTGCTGCAAAAAGGTTCAAAAAAGGGTTAAAAAAAAGGCACCTCAACTGGGCTTCGAACCGCACAGTGTAATGTTGCAAGTGGAGTGAAACGGCCTGGATAGTGGATATTCATGGTTTTCCCAATTCTGTGCTTTTGGGGCAAAACCTGGCCGAAATGCTTTTCTTGTTATGTTATTCAGTTTCGGGCTGATGCACATACCAAAGGTCTCCCTTGTCGGTACTTTTACCATACACAAAACCTTTCTTCTGGGGCCATTACACGCCACCATGGAAACTGAATCGAGTGTGACTAATCATTCTCTGCATGCACTGTTCGTTCTTATGCAGCCGATCTCGTGTATGTGAAGGGAGCAAGCCTCGGGAGCCTGCTTCTCGGCCTGCTGGCTTGGATAGCCATCATTGGTGCGTTCACCAGCACAGCCTCTCAGCTACTGGCAGCTACCTTCAGCTTCCTGCAGTGTAAGGATGGGATGCCCCATGTATTAAGATTCTTTATTCCACTCCAAACTGAAAATAAATAAATAATTGGAGATAATTATTACACAAACTCACCGGACTTCTCATAGCCAAAGGTAAGCAGCATGGAATAATATATGGGGAAAAAGATAGGTAGAGAGAGAGAGAGAGAGAGAGAGAGAGAGAGAGAGGGAGGGAGGGAGGGAGGGAGAGAGGGAGAGAGAGAGAGAGAGGGAGAGAGAAAGGTGCATGTACCATCGCAGGCATTAAAGCCCATAGGTATCATAACAACAGGTATTGCAAACGGAGAGCATCAGAAGTTGGCAAAAAATTCAGGCCGGCAAGGCTCATCACTGGGCACAACGGCTCCAATGTGTGCCCACAGAAAGATCAAGCACGAATAACCACAGAAACAACACAGTGTTTCAATTACAAACCAAAGCAAATAACATACAGAGCATAAGAAGACCACCAGGGACAGCGAAGAGCCCTATGCTGTACCCAAAACAGATCTTAGAATGGCCATCGAGCCAAGGATAGCAGCCTGCTGCAGTTCATGAAGGTGCCGCTCTTCTCCACATAGCTGCTTAATGGAGATAGCCGCTTCCTTCGTCAGGCCACCAAGAGCACCAACTATGATGGGCACGACGGACACAGCCTCTTGCTGCCAAATTTGCCTAGTTTCCACAACGAGGGGCAAGTACTTTGCTCTTTTCCCAGCATGCTTTAGCGTTACTTTATGATTGAGCTGCGCACTGGCATCAATAAGCAGGACTGACCTGCCATCATCCCCCACAAGATCCGGCCGATTTGCTCCAAACACCCTGTCTGTAGGGATTGGCATTTCCCACATCAACTTATGGCCTTCGCCATCTTTGATGTAGTGTGGCAAGTGGCCCGGGGAGCAGGAGATACCAGTCTGTGACGACGACAGAGTGCCCGGTGGACGATATCAGCAAGACGATTGTGGCGAGTAATGTATGCCGCCGGCGCCAAAATGGGGCAACATGCCAACATATGGTCAACAGTCCCTCCCCCCCCCCCCCCCGCCCCCGGACCTCCACGCAAAAGTCACACATCAACCACAGCAGAAATGTTGCCAATAACCGACCTCTGGTAGTTCCGTGTGTTAACCACCTGAACCTGAGCTGCAAATACGGATGACTCAGCAGATTGACACAATGTGTGAGACTTTAAGAACTTGAACGAGAGAGGCATGCCCAGTACACCATCACTCTGCTGCCAATAGCGACCATGCAGGGGCTTCTGGCACAGAGAAGCTTGGGTGGTGGTTGTTAGAGCAGACTTAACAACATCAGTTGTTGCATCTCCGATGTCCGGGATGTTGAAACGCTCCGTAGCTGTGGCTGCCCGGGAGATTATCGACTTTGTAGGTGGGAAATTTTCATGATGCGTGTGCAGAGCAGCAATCAGCTGCAGGTCAGAGTGCGCCTGGAGATGCCCTAGACAGGCGGATGTACTTCCTCGCCAGCAGGTGCTCAACCGACCAATATTACTATTATTATCAGCTTTTTCGCGCCAATTGGAATGAAGAATTAGGTACAGGTGGGGTCAATGAGGTGCACATACGTACATAACTGCAGAATGAACAATGCAGAAAATATTTTTTTTTAAACAGTCCTAAAAACATGCGAACTGCCAACGAGTCAACAATTGCCATTTATAGGTAAAACCAAGGAATCCTGGGCAGAGACAGGGCCGTTGCAGAACCATTTTGCTTTTTGTAATCACATGCACGCACGCGCACACGCACAAACACCCCCATACCCCCCCTCCCCCTAAACACACAAACACCCCCCCCCCCACCACACACACACAAACACCCCCCACACACAAACACCCCCAAACCCACAAACACCCCACACTCACAAACACCCCCACCCCCACACACAAACACTCCCCCCCCCCACAGCCCCACACAAACACCCCCACACCCCCACGCAAACACCCCCCCCCCCACACACACACACAAACACCCCCCCCCCCACACACACAAACACCCCCCCACACACACACACAAACACCCCCCCCCCCAAACACACACAAACACCCCCAGACACACACACAAACACACCCACACACAAACACACCCACACACAAACACACCCACACACAAACACCCCCCCCCCCCCCACACACACACAAACACCCCCACACCCACACACAAACACCCCCCACACCCAAACACAAACACCCCCCCCCCCCCCCCCCACACCCACACACAAACACCCCCACACCCCCACACAAACACCCCCCCCCCCCCCCCACACACACAAACACCCCCCCCCCCCCACACACAAACACCCCCCCCACACAAACACCCCCCCCCCCCCACACACACAAACACCCCCCCCCCCCCCCCAAACACACACAAACACCCCCAGACACACACACAAACACACCCACACACAAACACCCCCCCCCCCCCCCACACACAAACACCCCCACACACAAACACCCCCACACCCACACACAAACATCCCCACACCCAAACACAAACACCCCCTCCCCCCCCCCCCCCCACACCCACACACAGAGAGACATATGCACACACTGTGTGCATGTGTATAATAATAATTGAGCCGCACCATGACAAAAAAGGGTGCTTATGGCAAAATTTCACAAACTGAGTTATGGATGCAGCGCAATGGCTGAATTCTCACTGCTTCTGTTGCAAAAAAAACGCATTCAAAAAGCTTGATAAATCGCAACGAAAACTAATCGAATTCAAAAAGAAGATGTGTACTCTCAATGATGCACACTCAACTTTCAAACGAGTTTTTCTCAGTTTGATGTCGCGTGCCATAAGCACCCTTTTGCCGTGTCGCGGCTCAATTATCAATTCAATAATGTGTTCCGAGAACAAAATAAAGTGCTAAAATAGAAAAAGGGAAGGTGAGACAATAGAAGTGAAGTGAGAGCTAAGTGCAACGGGGGGGGGGGGGGTTGAGAAACTAACTGTAACGCTAGAACTGTGTAGTGAGACAAACAATGATGCTGTGCACCTACGAAAACAATCTTTTAAAACGCAACTACATGTTTCTTCTGCTTACAAAGATCAGGCTTATGCAAACGAATACAAACAGCCTCAAGTACTTTCAACTGACTAGCATACCGTGCACGACAAAGAAGAGAAAAACTAAAATCATCATACACCTGCAGACACTAAGGGTAAGGGTCTGAAGGTATGCTAGTCAGATGAAATTACTTGAGGCTGTTTGTATTCGTTTGCATAAGCCTGATCTTATAATTATATCTTATACCACCATGTTGTCGGCATCTTTGTAAGCAGAAGAAACATGTAGTTGCGTTAAGATTGTTTTCGTAGGTGCACAGCATCATTGTTTGTCTCACTACACAGTTCTAGCGTTACAGTTAGTTTCTCAACCACCCCCCCCCCCCCCCCCCCCCCCGTTGCACTTAGCTCTCACTTCACTTATATTGTCTCACCTTCCCTTATTCTAGTTTAGCACTTTATAATAATTATCATTTGCACATTTTTTTCGCATTAGCAAAACAGGATGACACAAAGTCATTAGACATCATCTCTAGGTTCTTATGAAGATGTTGTCAGCCACTGCTGCTGTCCTGACATGATTTTGATGGTGAAGAAAATCATGGACTAAACCGTGAAAGCCAGTCAATGAGCAGCATTTAGCTCTGAAAAACGGACGTGGAGAATAACGTTAGACATGAATAATTGTTATGACTTCTTTGATGATCGATGGATAGGGAAAGAGACAGGTGGGGAGGGGGAGACATAATGCGTCTTTGTGTCTGTCTGTGTGTCTGTGTCTCTCAATTTCAATCTCCATATGAGCTGTGATCAGCAAAAACAGACCTTTAAGTCAATCTTTTCAAAATTGCTTTTGCTGGAAATTGTTTGTTGGTATTTGATGGTCATGTATACAACATTTGAAGCAGGTTGGACAAGAGTAAGTGAGTAACAAAATGAATCGGAAGGATAAAGACTCTAAGTGAAATTACGTGCACTTTATCCAAGAAAGCAATTCTGTGAGGATAAATGTCACTCTACTCCTCTTTACCTGCTCTGTCTGTTTGTCTGCATGTCTGTCTGCCTGTTTTCGCAACAGCTTGATTGTCCACCATGTTGTCGGCATGTTCGTCTGTTTATCTTTCTATCAATCTATCGGCCTGTCTGCCAATTTCTCTCTCCTTCTTGGTCTCTCTCCCTCTTGTGTGTGTGTGTGTGTGTGTGTGTGTGTGTGTATGTATATATATACTCAATCTGCGCTATATATATGTGTGTGTGTTTGTGTGTGTGTGTGTGTGCGCGCGCGCGTGTGCGTATGTGTGGGTGCATGTTCAGGCGCGGCCATGTTGGGAGCCACTGGGCGCTTCACCAATCTGGTGAGCACACACGATGGCCTGTCCTTCCTGCCCAACCTGAAGGGCACGCCAATACTGCTAATAGACGACTTTGGGCCCACCGTATCCTACGGCTATGCGTTCTACTTTGCCTGGTCGTCCGCTGGCCTAGCTCTCATCTCAACGTTGTTCATGGCGTTTGCCGCCTGCGTCTCGGCGCGTGCCAAGCAAGCACCGAATCAGTACCAGCTGGTGGAGGTACTCAAGCCCAACGAGCCAACCCCACCGGGTATTGACCAGGCATGAACAAACAATTGGCATGGTGCTTCCACAGTGTAGCATAGTTGCATTGCCTCTTGCTTCGCCTCTCCCAGCACTAACCAACAATGTAAACTACGACTTTGCCTCGCATACACTTGTAGAGCTAAGGTCGGCCCGCACCTATCCTCATCATAGCCAACAAATTTCAAATATATATCATAGCGTTGGTGATGCTGCGGGCTTGGTTTTTTCAACGCTCTCTTCCGCTCTCTGCTGTTCTATCCCTTTGAATTCTGTGCATAGTGCCATTAGTGGCATTGGCCAAGATCAATTTTTCACATTGGATTCCTAGACCGCAGCAACTCTGGTAGTCTATTTTACTTCATTTACTTGAAACTGCAGGAAATAGCATTAGGAATATTACGTTGTTGCTCCAAACTATACTGTTTTGCCACTGGCCAGTGTTCAAATGCCAGGCCCAGAACCCGCTCCTGAGGGGTGATGCGGGCCCCCGTCTGATCGCCTTCAGGGCCGATGATTTCACCCATGCCCAATTTCAGTGGCATGGAAGGGTGCACTGCACCTCTAGCTCTCCGCTGCATCATAATTATAATTATCAGATCGAGTAATTTTATCTAGTTGACTCAGCTACATGTTCCGCTAGCAACTGTAGTATGATGTGGAATATGTGACAATTTTGATTTTGGAACCCCCCGCACGGAATACAATAATAGTACTCCAGCACAGTTATAAAAGACTTTTCCTAGGGGCTCCCGTAAGAAGACCATAGGTCTGTGCCTGTGGGAAACACCCTAGTAAAATAAAAGTTAATAAATATTAGAACGAGGTCTCTCGTTGTCCAGGAAACGACCAATCAGCGACATTCCCGCCAAGGGCCTTATCAGAGTTTAAAGCCCGCTCAATCGTTATTTTACTACTCTTGATGACGCGTCGAGGGCCTTGGATTAGTTTAAAGCCCGCTGAATATACTCTAAACTGGTGCGTACAACTCTCTGTATGCATTATAGTACGGTGCAGATAATGAACTCTGCATAAAATGTACGGTGTACTACTAAAAGCTACGCATTTCAGAAGTGTGTACGGTTTTTGCCTCCCGTATTCTTTCATCTGTACGAATTTCCTTTGTCAACAGCTTGCGGAAACCTATAAAAACCGAAGATCGAAGTCATTAGAGGTATCGACAAGGGGCTCTCAAATCCCCTAAATAGCTCCGCAAGCTATGAATAAGAATGAAGCTCGCAATAAGAGCCCAGCATTTCATTTGCTTCTATTCTACTTTTAGGAGTCCTAAGTGGTCCTGAGTTACCATAACTTACCAGAAGAAAATATTCTTTCATACCACACCAAGTCTCTCTGCACACAAACCACAAACTAGCCAATATAATGGTACACAAGCATGATGGAAGTGAGATAATGCATATAACCTCGTTCTAAAATAGTTAGTGCATGGCAGGGAGGGTCTTATGGCTTGTTTGTGCCCTTCAGGGTAGCCCTCGGGCCTACGGCCCTCATGCTAACCTGTCGGGCACTAACAAGCCATAAGGCCCTCCCTGCCATGCACTAACCTATAAATAATAATAAAACTCGGATTTTAGAGTCAAGGTTTAAAATTAAAAGAAAGCCAGGGACCAAAATGTTACATGTTACCGTGATCTTGCTTATAACTGTTAGTGTTGGACACAACCCCCCGCGGATAACATGTAACATTTTGGTCCTTTCTTTTAATTTTAGAACGAGGTCTGTCTCGTTGTCCAGGAAACGGCCAATCAGCGACATTCTCGCCAAGGGCCTTATCAGAGTTTAAAGCCCGCTCAATCGTTATTTTACTACTCTTGATGACGCGTCGAGGGCCTTGGATTAGTTTAAAGCCCGCTGAATATACTCTAAACTGGTGCGTACAACTCCCTGTATGCATTATAGCACGGTGCAGATAATGAACTCTGCATAAAATGTACGGTGTACTACTAAAAGCTACGCATTTCAGAAGTGTGTACGGTTTTTGCCTCCCGTATTCTTTCATCTGTACGAATTTCCTTTGTCAACAGCTTGCGGAAACCTATAAAAACCGAAGATCAAAGTCATTAGAGGTATCGACAAGGGGCTCTCAAAGCCCCTAAATAGCTCCACAAGCTATGAAAAAGAATGAAGCTCGCAATAAGAGCCCAGCATTTCGTTTGCTTCTATTCTACTTTTAGTAGTCCTAAGTGGTGCTGAGTTACCATAACTTACCAGAAGAAAATATTCTTTCATTCCACACCAAGTCTCTCTGCACACAGACCACAAAACTACCCAATATAATGGTACACAAGCATAATGGAAGTGAGATAATGCATGTAACCTCGTTCTAAAATAGTTAGTGCATGGCAGGGAGGGTCTTATGGCTTGTTTGTGCCCTTCAGGGTAGCCCTCGGGCCTACGGCCCTCAGGCTAACCTGTCGGGCACTAACAAGCCATAAGGCCCTCCCTGCCATGCACTAACCTATAATCAGTTATAAAAAGGTTTTAAAACATCCCTGGTTCGAGTCCTGGTACATGGTGGTGACAGTCAATTTTTTCTTCAGTCTTTTCCCGTTTGCGTCTTTCCCGCAAACCAGTGAATGTTTTAAAACAGATTCATCTTTTCATGTTACTAGTTTCTGCTTCTGGAAGAGCTCCTAATATGTGAATGTGTATTGCAAGTGGGTATAGCGGTGCAGCAACATTGCAGGTAGGCACAGGACTCAGAGGAGGGCAATAATGTTGCATGTGGAATGGATATAGCAGTTCTCAAGAGCCAAAATTTGATATTGCATTTTTCTTAAAAAAAAACACGGGAACAACATGTTACGTTTGTAGGTCGGCGACCATGGATGACTCAACAGCTTCTTTGCAGCATTAAACTCAAGCATCAGCTCCACCGTCAGTGTCTCAGAACTCGCAGCGCCGAGAATTCGCTCACGTTCGTTACTCAACGCAATAGGACCACAACACAACTGAGAGAAGCTAAATCCGCCTTTGTATCCACTACCGCGCAAGGCGACGTAACTGGTGTCCCGCAGCGAAACCCGTGCAAGTTAAAGGGGAAGTTTTCATTTCATTTATTTAGACTTTATTTGAAGGATTCTCCAAAAGTAAATGGATACTTATCGGGAGAGTTTCCTGGAAGGGTGGATGAGACGAAAGGGAAGTGAAAAGGGAGAAGGGAAAATAGTACTTAGCAGAAACACTGCTCAGGGAAAACTACAGGTAAAACCACCAGGGAGAAACAAAATACATGACGAGAGCTAGATACGAAAATCAGGAATTCCAGTGGTGGAGAATTTGTACGTTAAATAATAGTCCTTCAGGAGAAACCGAAACTTAGCAGAAGATCGCTCCCTGCGTAGGCTCTCAGGAAGCTTGTTCCGGCAGACAACTGATAAACCGAAAAGAGGAGATTTAAAGAAATGAGTTCCAGAACGAGGAAAAACGATAGAGGAAGGGTGACGGCAGCTGCTGGAGATGGTGAAACTAAACTGGCTCAGTAGTGCTGGAAATTGGTAGAGTCATGGTGAAAATGAACTAGAGAGAGAATTTGACGACGCCATTGGAGCGATTCCCATTCACACAGATGATTCAGAACATTCTTGGATGTTGTCCAAGTAGGAAGCTGTCGGGTCTTACGCATTAGGTAGGATCGGGCAGCAGTAGCTTGTAGTCGATCCAATGTGCAGGATTGCGTAGACGACATGGCGAACAGCCAAACAGGGACAGCATACTCCAGTAAGGGTCTCACGTAACATTTATACAGTAAATTGATGGTTGGTGCGGGGAGACAACGGGTCATGTGGCATAATAGAAATACTCTACTGCGATACTTACAAGTGATTTTAGTAATATGGTCAGAGAAACTAAGGTTTGGGGAAAGGGTAATACCAAGGTGACAGTGCCTGTCAGCCGTCGTAACCTCAGTGTCATCCATTTTGAAGGGGTGGGCAGGGAGTCACAGCATGTTTCCGAAAGGACACATGAACACACTCGCTGGTGTTAAACTTCATGGAAGTGGTTCTTGACCATTGAGGCAATGTTCAATATCAGCTTGAAAGCTGGCACGGTGAGCGGGCACTGTGCATCGATTTTTCGAGTAGGGTCCAGAAGAAAGACAATTTGATATCGGTTCGAATGGCATATCTCTCGCTTCCATACGATCAGCCAAACTTGAGCCAAACTTGCCAAATCGCCAATTGTATACTCACGTTGCCATAGCGACCAGTGCAGTGATGACGTATGGCTTAGCTCCACCACAGAGAAGGTCGATCGCTGCAGAAATTGGTCATTTTCAATTTTCTTATTGTATTCACGATGTGAAAGAAGTGCTGTGTTCAATGCTGTTAGTGCCGTGAACTGTTTATCGGCCTTCTCCTGCACTTCACTAGGCTGACTGTGCCTAGGAAATGTTTTCCTCTAGGAGAAGATGCTTGGTATTCGCCTTCTCTCCTGAGACATTTTCAGCAAACTTTCAAACCTATATATATTTTTTCAAACCTATGACATTATTTCATTCGTCAATCTCCACCACCCGTCGTCTCACCTGGCTTCAGAAGATGTTACGAGAGATAGGAGAGTCGCCAGGAAGCATCACATCCATATTCAGGAAGTGAAAAGAGCAAACGGCATGGTCCTTGGTTGGGGAAATGCTGAACGTCTGATTTGTCCCAACCAAGATTTCAGCATTTTGTTCGTCACTATTTTCGCTTGTCTGCTGAACCAATTGAAAATGACCCATTTCTGCAGTGATCGACCTTCTCTGAGGTGGAGCTAAGCCTTTCATACGTGATCACTGTGCTGGTCGCTATGGCAACGTGAGTATACAATTGACGATTTGGCAAGTTTGGCTTATCGTATGGAAGCGAGAGATATGCCATTCGAACCGATATCAAATTGTCTTTCTTCTGGACCCTACTCAAAAAATCGATGCACTTTGCACGCAGCCATTTGATGTTTTTCTCGTACTTGGCGAGGAGTTTGACTTGCTGCTTGCTGTCATTCTCGGCCAGTAGTGTACTGAATCTGAGGTAGTCGTGATAGGAAAGGAACGAACGAGCCGAACTATACAGACGTTTAAATTGAGACTTAAGGGGGCAGCCTACCCATAAATTTCATATGGCATTCAATTGAACGTAACTTTGGTGTTTCTCAGTGGATTTGAGTGAAATTTTGACCACACACTCCTGCCACTATGCTGGCCCTCAGGACATGATTTACAAGTTCTTGCGCCTCACTGACAGGCTTTCCAGGCCGGAAAAACTCAAATTTCCGGCATAGTGCCACGGTGTGCGAGCCACCCAGGAGCCAAACAAATGCATTTACAATTTTTTCACATTTTCGTGCCCATTCTGTCCGTGCCCGGGACCCAAACCTAAAACAAGTCCAGAAGCAGCCATGGGGGGTGGGGTAGGGCCCCTCAACGTGGCTGTTATGAACCCTCTAAGATTCTCTAAATTGTCAGGATCGTACGACCACACGGCACGAGGACAACTCTTTTCCTTTACACTGTATATTTCACTTCATCTGATAATTAACAATGAACACTAATAACACCAGCTATTTATAACATGCAAAAACAGCGTACATGCAAAAACATACGCATATAAAACTGGACATAACA